GGGGCTGCCCATTCTGAGCCTGTTTTACTGTGTATCTGTAACATTTCCTGTCTGCATGAGCAAAACCTTAAATGCACCATGTGGCTTAGCACACAGGCTGCACCAGGAGATGTATCTCTGTACTGCAGCTGGCACGAGAGGACTGGACCATGCATGTTGTTGATGTACTGACCTTGAATTTTTTAATGCTTATTAGCAAACACCAGCTGCTAGGAGACATGGGATTGTGAAAAGAACTGCTGAGTAAACCAGTCCAGGCAGTTTAGGAATGCCTTAACTTTAAAATGGAAGTCAGTTTTGCTTTAGGGAAGAGGTTATGCTTTTGTTTCCACAAGAAATAAAAGGCTGAGAATTCCTTCCAGATTAATAGAGATGGTGGAGGAAGCCAAAAGAGACTACAGGACAGGTGATGTGTAAGTTGACCCCTTGACATGAGAACAGTTCTGAGGTGAGACATGATAAATCTTGTTGGCTAAGGAGTCTTTATGATTTATTATTACATGTCATCCTTTCATATGGATGGATAGAAATTTACGTTACAGTTTAGTATGTAGTCTAAGTGGACTTATAAAGTTGACAGATGCCTTTTACCAGCTCAAACATAAAACAAAAAAAAAATCATCTTTGACTGACTTGTTTACTGCACATTCCATGCTTTTGTTATGCAGATATGTATGTTACCTTTAAAAGCTTGTTTGTTTTCAGAACAAGAGGATCAAGTACCAATGAAAACAGGTAGCCCAGTTGATTTAACCTCTCAGGGTGCCTAAGTTGCAGTTTCTTCAGAGTTCTGCATCTAGAACAGCTTCATGGCTGCTGGCTGAGATGGTCCAGTCACACAGACTGTTCTAGCTAGGACTGCAGATGCACTTTCACATTGCGCAGAGACTGGATAGCAAATAATACAGCTAACTCTCCCAGGATTTGACTGTTATCCCAATTTTCCCAGGGCCTCCTAAAGACAACTGGAAGCAGTCTAGAGAACATGACACCCACATTCCCAAGTGGGTGGTTTTTGGTCATTCTATGGGTTATAGATGTTTGCCATCATTTAGAAAGGTTGGATACAAGGTGTTATTGGTCATGGTCAAGAAAAAAGCTAAACAAAAGAGTTGGATTCAAGGATATTTTTCTGAAGGAAAAAGGGGGAGTTATCAAATAAAAAGTATGAAATAAAAGGGTGGGTTGTTGAGTCTACTTTTAAACAACCACTATTCTCAAATATTTACATTGGTATTGATTTTTTATATCAATACAAATTTAAGGGTATTTTGCTATACTGTATACATTTCTGTTCTTATTTAAGGTACTGTACATATGCAGCTCATTTTAAAAGGTTCTGTAAAGTTTTGGTCTTTGAAAGCTATTTAGGATAAATAGCTATTTAGGATACAGGTTAACAGTCATCTATAAATATCAAACTTACAGTCATGTTAGGTATATTTTTAAAGTCAAACAGATATATTTTAGATAGGCAGGTGTTCTTCAGACAGAGTTTCTCAGTGAAACAGCCCTGACTGTTCTGGAACTTGCTCTGTAGACCAGGCTGGCCTCAAACTCACAGAGATCTGCCTGCCTCTGCCTCCCCAGTTCTGGAATTAAAGGTGTGCACCACCACTACCTAGTAATTTAAGATGTTTTAATAACATAAGGCTTTCATGTCATGAGGCAACTTCAATTTACTTCAAAAAAGGATAGTGGGCATTGAAGAACCTCCATATAGAGTCTGCTCTCTTTATGGCAAAAGATAGCCAGTTCAGCAAGAAACTGCCCTTGCCTCAACTGCTTGACAGTATACTGTCCAAACTGGACCAACAGGACACAAAGAAAAGGGACTGTCAAACTTTGCCAAGACAGGGTAGGACAGTCCTTCACAAAATGTCTGTCAGATATCTTAGGCCTATATGCTGAAGATGGATGCCAACATTGCAGAGGAACCTTGGGTGACTGCCCAGGCAGACAGCTGTTTTTATCATTTCTTTTAGTTTTGGAATTTGCTTGCTCTGCACTTTCTGTTTACTCAGGTAATATTATATCCTTCTGGGGTGGTTGATGGGGTTGAAGACTAGATAGTATCATTTTCATTAGATATGATAGACGGTAAATTAGGTACAGGGATTTAGACTCATTAATAAATAGAATAAATAATGGAGTATTTTCTCCAAATATGCCAAATACAAAAGAACTGGACATTGTAAATGTAATTCTTACCTGATAATTGTTCTTATTGTGTATAGTTTTATTATATTAGAGTTAAAACCTTTACTTTTTACTTAAACAAAAGTGGGAATGTTGTGAAATGTTTTGTACACTGCTGATTTGTTACTTGGATTGGTTTAGTAAAAAGCTGAACAGCCAATGGCTGGGCAGGATTTACAGGGCAGAGAGAATGCTGGGAAGAAGAAGGGCAGAGTCATGGAGAGTTGTCAGTCATACAGAGAGGAAACAGGATGGGAGTACAGAATAAAGGTAACCAAGTCACTTACAAGAACATAGATTAAAAGAAATGGATTAATTTAAGTTATAATAACTAATTAGGAAGAAGCCTAAGCTATGGGCTGAGCTTTCATAATTAATAAGAAGTATGCATGTGGTTATTTAGGAGCTGGTTGGTGGGACAGAAAAAGTCCAACTACACTTCCTCCCTTAGGTTGCTTTTTCCTAAGTTATTTTTATTAGAGCACCAGGAAAGTAACAAAGAAAGTAAGACTGAATCTAAAAATCTAACAGGAGTGGCAATTTAAGCTAAAAAGCCAGGTCACTAAACACATGTTTCTCTGTGTCTTTGTTTCCTTGTTGTGAGAGAGGTATAAATAAGAATGTCTTACTTCACAAAGTTGCTATGAACACTGACAGAGCTAATTCTCACAGCATGCAAATCAGTGTGGGGATAGGTGGCTTGTGGATGGTAATTATTATTTATATTACTAACAGCCTAGTCATCCCTTATGCCAGTGTTCCCACCTGGCATCACCCTTGGTTGATGCTCTTTTCACTATTATGAATTTAGTATTATTCTCTAAGCTGACTCACTTCCTATTTACTTAAAATTTATTTTTAAAGAAATTGTACCTCATATAGGGGGAAGTAGAATTGTGTCATAATTGAGAGGCAAATGTAAAAATAAAACACAGTGAAAACAAGTGACACCTGTTGTTGGCCAAAGGTGTCAATCACCAGCCTCCTGTGTTATGCATGTAGGGAGATGGGAGGACATACAGCTGGGCCATCCTCCAGAGACTAGACGGGCATGTCTACACAGGTCACATGTGTTCCTCACTAGTTATGATTATGGCCCAACATCTTATAGATGACAATGTCATATTGCAGTGTTGATAGTTAGGCACCCTGCACTGGAAGCAGTAGAAGCACTATGGGAAGTGCCCTTCCCAAAGCTCTGCCGTTTGAACTCCAGTTACTGTCTTCTATACTTGTAGCAACAAGAGACCCTGCTGTCCCCCTCCCCGGGAGGCATGGTCCCATAGAAGCCTCCGTTTCTGATAGAGACATTAATTATCCTTGCCATGCAACTCCATGGCCACCACAAGCACAGCTAGTAAACACCTAAAACATGACTAGTGTGACCAAGGAACAGGTGTCCAACTTATTTGGTTTTAAGTAATTTCAATCTAAACAACCATGTGTGGTAGCTGAGTGTGGTGAGAGATAGCACAGTTATACTGAGGAAGCTGCACAGGGCTGGCTCTCCACAGGCATGGGGTCATTTGTGGTTGTGCCCTCAGCCACCTGAAAAGGAGATCCTTCGAAAGTAGACAGTAAGTTGCCACAGGATATAGTGGACGATCATCTGTCTCAGCCTAATTCACTCTGAAGCCCCCATGTGGAGGTTTCATTTTAGCTCTCTGTGAGGAATTAACAGCTTTTCTTGTTGTTAGCAATGAAATTACTCAAAATAACCAACTGAATTTCCGTTTCACAATGGCTGCCAGGAAGCCCTTAGGAAACTGAAATCACTGAGAAGGACTATGTAGGACCTCAGAATAAATAAGTCTCTGCTTTTTCATTTAAACCCTTTGAGCTTACTACATTGTACTTGACTCTGATATATTTTTCTCTTCTCTTTTATCAGTCTTTTCTATATGCTTCTCTAAAAGTTACCTCAAGTCTAAACAACATGCATTTTATAAAAATGTAAATGTAAATAATGCCCAGTGGTACCATTATTTAAATAAGTGGCTTCTATCCATTATCAGTGACATGAAAAACACAAAGCTTCCTGAAGTGTTTCCAAATACCAACCATAAGCACTGTCAGACTAATGTATATGCTATACATGGAACTAAAAGCATAAACATCTAAAACCCCACAAATCTGGTTGCAAAACCATCTACAGAGCACTGCAAAGCTGAACCCTGAAGTACTCATGCAAACAGTGCTTGAACACTTCTGAGGCACTGAGTGGAGACATTTGGAGTCTTTACTTGTCTGCAGAAAAAGGGTCCTGTCTTTTGCAATGTGTAACCTGACTGGGAATGGTGGTACATACTGTAATCCACATGCTTGCAAGTTCAAGGTAAGCCCAGGGTATATACCAAAATCCCATCTCAAAACAACAACAAAAGCACAGTTTGGTTTTTATTAGGGTCATCTTCCCACTCTCAGACATGTGGTTGAGTGAAATCACTGCCAACCCTGCTACCAGCAATGGTTACAGGAGCCAAATAGAGCCAGCCATGAAAGTCAAAATCCTTCCCCTAACCCCAAGATTCAGCCAAAAAACGGACTATGAGACATGGCCCAAGTCTTGGCTGAAGCCAGGCAGGCAGACTGGGTGTGTGGTACTGCTGGGAAACAGCCATTAAACCACAGCCAGCCGGCAAAGTCACAGAGCAACAACAGGAAACTCCATGCACATCCTCCCACCTGACCAAAGACCACACACCACCTCATCAAGGCAGATCCTACAGATAGACAAATGGTGTCAACATGCAGAGCACCATGGTGCAAATATGATGTCGACATGAAACCCAGGCACTTACCTGATACACGTGGAATGCGTTGGCTGCTTTACCTCGGAGAAACACAGACGGGATCCAGACATTAATCAGGGCCCGATTTGATCTGACCAAAATAAAGAGATGAGAGTAGTCATTTTTACTTATAAAAAAAAGAGAAAAGAAACCAAAAGCAGGTCAAGAGACTATCTTCTCCTCCAAAAGCATTTCAAAGAAGTCACTTATACAAGAGACATCATCATACTTAACAGTGAGATGAGGTCATATTTAGTACTTAACACTAGACCTCAGAAGGCTATCTCGAAGGACCTTTGTTTAAAGGATGGATATATATCCATACATATATACATATATGTCCTTTAAATTATATACATATCCTTTAAATATATGTATATATATCCTTTAAATATATGTATATATACATATATATATCAATTTACATATGCAGTGTATACTCTGGAATGAGAAAGAGCTTGGTCAGCGATGTTGGCCTAGGATACACCTGAAGTTCAGTCACCACATCTGATAGAGTAACAGTAACAGGGAGCCATGAGAGGTAGCATACACAGTAGCATCCCAAGGAACCACCTGCCTATCCTCTTCCCTCGTTTCTGACCCTGATCTCCATTTCACACAAGAGCTCAGGAAAGCAATTACCTATGGTTTTGGGAGTGCCAGCTGCTTGGACTTGGGGGAGAAAAGGACAATGGGAAATAACAAATTAGAAAACCTCAGGTGTCGGGTACAAACATCTCATGATTCCTCTAAAACACTGTGTACAGTGCAATCAGACTTGACTTCAGCTGTCAGCTTGACACACCCGACTGGCCTGTGAGCATGACTATGGGGCAAGCTCTTAATTGCTAACTGAAGAGAGAGCCCAGTCTGCCTCAGCAGCGCATCCCTGGGCAGACAGGAAGGTAGTAACTGAGGGAGGGACTGGAAGCAAGCTGGTAAGGAGCGCTCCTCTGTGGTTCCTGCTGCAAGCTACTGCCTTGAGTTCCCTGGATGACAGGCAGTAACACATAAGTCAAAGAAGCCCTTTCCTCCCCATGCTGCTTTTTGGTCATAGTGTTTATCAGAGCAACAGAAAAGCTAATGAGGACAAACAGTCTAAGACAAGTAAAACTTAAGCTAAACTGCACAGAGCACAGGTCAATGGTGGAGCCCTTGCCCAGCACAAGCTGGTGTCTGGGTTCCATTTGCAGCACCTAGAGAAGGAAACCAAGTACAAAACCATTCCCAGAGGACATCAACTACACAGCCCCAAGTTTTTCTTCACATTGACTCATCAATCCCCTGAGAACTATTTAAGAGATATTTGAGGGTATTATGGTTATATGACAGTTCTGCCTTATGGGGTGACTTGAGACACACAACACACACCCCACCACAGCTCTACTGACCTGAAAAGGGGACTATGGCTGACATCTTCGGCAGCATCCTAACAGCTGTCTAGTATGGTGCCCTTTCTGGAAGACCCTGTCTTGCCTCTACTCAGATCTAACCAGGGAGAGGGGCTTATTCTGAGCATTCCTGATCAGAATTCATCAGCTTCTTGGGCTTGTAGCATAATCCAAATTACCAGGGGTTTGTTTAAGCCTCCATGGCCTTCATGATTTCACAATCTCCAGGGTGAAAAGCATCTATCCTAACAAAGAAAATAACACACATGCAAGCAGCCCTGTGACCCTAGCACTTCTAAGCTCTGGGCCAAAGTGGTGACCTCCTTTCAGGGGACAATAAACTGTGAATGATCATGACGTGTTCAGGGTTCAAAGCACAATCAACAATCTTGAGCCACCAAACTGGTCTGTGTAGTCAACAGCATTCCACAGACAAAGGCCCCAAAGCTGTGTCTATGCCTAAAGCACTTCAAACATTTCTGGCACTTAGTCAGGGGTACAGAAAAGCAATGTCCTGGTTCCATTCCTTTTCTCAAGTGCTAACACCAGGTGATCCCACAGGGCCAAAGCAGATGACCCAGACTGGGTTACGTGCTCTTTTCCCAAGCCATTTACTACATTGTGCTAGCAGTGACTGCCTACATGACTCCCACTAGCACATCAGCTCCTCTGGTCCTCTGGCCCTCCTCCATTTATCATTCATCTGTTCATGAAATGAGTATCTAGTTAGAACCTACCATGTGGCAGGCACAACCCTAAGTATAAGAGATGGAGGAACAGAGAAAACAGATGCAACCCCCTACTTCATGGAGTATTTCATTCACCATGAAAGGTGGACAAATTATTCTGCCATGACCAAAGAAAATAGTATGATCTGAGTTTTAATGTTTGATTGAGTCATGGTCTAATCTAGAGAGTATCTTATGTATAGTTTGGAAGAAACATGTTCTAGCTTGGACCTGTAAGATCCACACAGCCCATGTGTTAAATGTTTGATCCCTGTCTGTGATTTAAGAGGAGGTGTAGTAGAAGGGAATTATGTGGCCACAGTCTTTCCCTAATACTTTGTTTCTCAGCACCATGAGGCAGTCATGACATGCTGCCTCAACACAGGCCCAAGAACCATAAGCCGGTCTTAGCATTGATTGAAACCTACAAAACAAAACAACCCTTTTAATTCTGTAAGCTGATTAACTTAGTTACTCTCTTAGAGTAATAAAAAGCTGACTAATACAAGTGTGTATTCTATTTGTATCTGTATCTTTATCTATGTTATGCTTAATTGCTTTATAATGTTGTTCAAGTACAATTACTTACTGATCTTTATTCTGGTGGTTCTATTACTGTGTGCAGTCTCCAACTGTTATCCTAGAACTGGTTTTGTTTTAGTCTGTTTTTATATCATGTGTTTTAAGGCCTCATGGTTGGATATATACATTGGCATATCAAGGTCATCTAGATATTTTTCTCCCTGTCCTGGCTTTCTTATCTACCACATCCACCTCATGGCAACCCCAAAAACAGATGCGGCTTCCAATGTCTTATGCTGTCCATAGTCATACTTTGGTTGCTAACATGCTCTGCAAAAAATTGGTTCCAGGACTTTTTCTATGAAAACAGAACACTAAGGTTCAGTGAGGTGATGTGTAGCTTATCTGAGGTCACAATGTTGTAATTCCAGTGCCTAAGATTTCAACACAAGTCTTTCCAATGTCCTGTCTCCTCCATGCTCTAAAAGTAGCCTTTCTGAATGGCCTTTCTCATAGGAGGCAAGACCTTTGTTGGTGGTGAGACAAAGGCTCACCATGTGTCTGGCTGGTCTTGAATTCCTGGGTTTATTGCTAGAGAGGCTGGACCTTCATCAACTGACCACAACCATGTGAGAAGGAGGAGAGTCTGTGTGGCCCTGAGACCCCATGTTCCTTGGGAGTCTGAGGAAACTATGGATCCCCAAAACAGAAAGAGTCTGAAAAACAACTGTGCCCTCGGGGGTTAATAGCAGACCTCAGACAGAATCTGAGCCAGTCAAAAGCAGAACAAGGTGAGTATTACGGGTGAACCAAACAGTAGCATGGAACATGGGGCAGCAATAAGGTGAAGAGTAGGGTGTGGGCCCTGTGCAAAAGGACCGTTAGCTCTTGCTTAGCCTTGCAGGAGTGACAAGTTAGGACTCTATATGATACCTTCCCAATTTTAAATGTAAAATCCAGGGGACTAAAGCACATTAGACGGTCTGGACCTCAGCAAATGTCCCCAGCTCTACAACCAAACAGGTTCTGTGTAGACCTCATGAGCCTTTTCTGCCATCCCCTGTGGACTTGAGGACACAGGCTAGCAACAGGGTTCAGTCTTTTTTAAGGGCCCCTCAGGAATACATGCATGAACTTACATTTCAAAATCTGACAAACTCTGGTCTTCAGATGTTTGGCTCAAATCTCCAGGTACCTGCAATTGGGAAAAGGAAGGGGGGGGTTGCAAAGGTTACCACAGTCTGTACATTCACCAAAAACATGTCTCTCCTGTCCCCAAACACTTCCTCTCAGAAGGAGGGGAAAGCAGCTACTGGAAAACAATAAGATTTCATGGCAAGTTGGCTGGGGATGGTACTGCAGTCATAAAAACATGCTGCCATGCACAATCTCAATTATCTTTACAGGAAAAGCACTGTTAATCCTATTGAGATAATCACAGGCATATAAAAGCTTGTAATTTTGGAGCCATAAAGGACTAATTAGGGTCAGAAAACCAAGATATCATCTGTGCAATGAAAAAAATATATCTATTGTCACTGCGAAGGTATCACAAATGTCACACCCAGTACATGAGCACAAAAAGCCACTAATCCCTAAAAATGGCTGTCCTTTTGTCCCATAAGGAATGTGCAACTACAGGCAAAAAGAACATGGAGGCTCCTGGCTGGCCATGTAGTGTCATGATGACCCCTACTAATGCTGTTTATGGTCCTAAACACATGCCACAAAACCAAGTAAAATGACCAGAAGGCATCATCGGCATGTGACCTCCAATGACCCCTTATTCCAACCCTGGCCTGCGATAGGGATGAGTCTCCAGGGCTGGCACAAGGGCTTACAGTAGCTTTGCTGTGACTATGTGATCCCCTTGCCAGCAGATACTAAACAGATGATGGTGTTCACCCACCACTCAGGGGAGGGACTTCCTCTTCCCAATTGATTGAAGTTGACAGAATTTTAAGAAAGTGGACAAAAAAAGGGAAAATAGCTGGAACGAGAAGAGTGTGGGGAAGCAAGGGGAAACTGGACAACACCCATCAATTTCCATGACAACTGAGGGGCAGGTTCTGTTTTCCTCTTCTAACAAGTGAAATAAAGACTTGGAGTTTCCATCTAGGAAATAGGTACAAGCCAGATCTGTCCAGTTCACTCTTCTGTGATGAAAATGAAGAAGAAACCAGCTAAAAGACAAAAGTCTTGAGGCTGTCATATAAAGAGGGCTGAAAGAGACCAGAAGGCTGAAGAAAGCAGCTCAGCTGTAGAGGCAAAAGCTTAAGTAGGTGGGGCCTAGGGCCTGACCTAAGTGGCTTAGTACCAACTTAGTGCAGTCCTTCTTCCTGGCTCCACCGCCATGAACAAATCAGTTCTTTGAGATACTGTGATGGGAGATTCAAAATCATCTGGAAGACTGGTAAGGCACACCAGTGTGTTTGTGAGGACTTTTCTGGAGGCAATTAACCAAGAGAGTTCCATGTTCAGAAGACACAGGAAGCGGGCCAGGCGTTGGTGGCGCACGCCTTTTATCCCAGCACTCGGGAGGCAGAAGCAGGCGGATCTCTGTGAGTTCGAGACCAGCCTGGACTACCAAGCGAGTTCCAGGACAGCCTCCAAAGCCACAAAGAAACCCTGTCTCGAAAAAAAAAAAAAAAAAAAGAAAAAGAAGACACAGGAAGCAGACACGAAATGAATGGCACCAGATCTTCAGACCACGCCTCAAAGTTATGTAAGCGCGTAGACCCTCTAAGCAGCTGAGCTGCTAAGGAGCTCTGAGAGAGCTCCAGGGATGTGACTCCTGTGGGCCATCACCCATGCCAGAGTGGACTTCTTGGTCATCTGCCTTTGCTTCACACATGTAAGTAACCCCAAGAAATTCACTACACCACCAAGATAGGTAGGATCATTTCTTGTTCATGTTTCCCCAGGTATAGTCACACAACAAAGAGAAAGACCCAAATTCTACAAGAACGGCACCATCCCTGCACCACCCCCAGCAGAACAGGCGGAAGGAGAAGGCCAGCCAATGCCAACATTCCTTCTTATTGCTTCTCATCTAAGTTACTCTGCCATTTCTCCCCACCATGATGGACTGAACTGCAACCATGTGCCAAGATAAAACAACCTCTCTTTAGGTGGTTTACATCAGGTTAACAGTGACAATATTGACACTCTCAGGGTTATTCTGTGGATAAAAGGTGCCCCTGTCTACAGAAGACATAGAATAGGAAAACCGCAGTCACTGGCTACATACACAGATGACAACATGGCAACCAGTAAGAAATAGGAGCTGTGCATTGTCATCCTCAGTGATGCATGGAAAATCTGCCTATTCAAACTGAGGGTACGTCTCAACCTATGCAATACCAGTCTAGAGGGAGAGCTGACCCGGGCTCAACCTTTGTGGTGGCTGCAGCTACAGAATTAAACTGGGCCCTGGCCACACACCTTCTCTACCACACACCTTCTCTACCAAAGTACTGCTGAGAGATCTTGCAAACCCAACAAGGAAGTGACTGCCCCCACTCTCACATGACCATATGCATCATCGGGCTTTGGTATCACAGTGATGCTTTTATGACTATCAATTTCTTGTGGGTGGCTGTAGAGAGTTGAAGGCAGGAGGCTGCAGGGACCAAGATGCCTAAAAGATCTCATTCTTTCAGAGGGAAACTTTAAAATAAAAATGTCTGTGAGTGCCCATCCTACAATGTGGGATGCTGTCTCAGCCTGGACTCTTGAGGGAGGGCCTAGACCCTACACTTAGTGAAATGACAGACCCTGGAGATCCATGGAGGGCCTCACCCTCCCTGAGGAATGGAGTGGAGACTGGGGGGTCTGGTGGGGGAGGGCAGGGAGGAGAGAAAGGGAACTGGAATTGACATGTAAAACAAGCTTGTTTCTAACTTAAATTTAAAAAAAGGGGGGGAGGAAAAAAGAAAAAAGTTCAGCTATAAAATTAAGATGTCATTGATCACAAGATGTGGAGAAATTAAGTCAATATTGACCATGACGCTTCCTCGCTGCTGACTAGCTTTCATAGTACTGGAAGGTGCTGTGCAAGTTGCTAGGTAGAGAAAGTCATCACCAGTCTTACTCATCTGTAAATGCTGTCAACGTCTATAATTTGATAAGATACACCCATGAATATAAGAGTGGTACAAACGTCACGGAGGTAACCAACTTATTTCTGATTGGATTTAAGGTTTGCTCAACAGGAGGAAACATAGCCTGACCTTGTCAGTCTAGCCATGAATCCCAACTGGGATCTCATAGCTCTCAGGAGTGAGCTTACTACTACTACTACTACTACTACTACTACTACTACTACTACTACTAATGTGGTGATATTTTGTTTGGGCTTAACAAATAAAACTTGCTTGAAGAGCAAAAATAAATAAATAAAAATGTCTGCAAGAAATCACACCTCCAACAGCAGATATGGCGCAGTAGTGGAATATTTGCCAACATGGACAAGGCTCTGGATCCCATCCCCGGCATAAACCAAAACCAAATCTCAGGTTTTCTTGATTATAGAACTTAAAATGTGTGCAAACTACTCAATTATTTTAACAACGTTACAGAAGAATGGAGATATCAGATTAGAGCATAGCCTGTTAAAACAAGTTTTAAAGAGAAAAGGAGGAGAGCTATCCTGGATACTACACAACAAGCAGTTTACAGAGACTACCACTAACTGCAGATGGGGAGTAAGACTTAGGGGGAGCCTCTATTTCCATTACCCATCTTTCTGCAGGATGATAGGAGCTATATTCTGAGGTTCTTTGAAAAGGTAGATGCTTCTGAAGACTGAGCTGACTTTCTCTCCATTATGCAAAGACCTACAATACAGAGGAAATGAGGAACCCTGGTGCAGAGGTGAGACCTACGAATTATCTGTGCCTGCCTTTGCATCAGAAACCTGCTAGTGTAAAACTCAAGGCACTGGTGGCAGAAATGCCCTGTGGGTGCTACAGTGGGACTTGGACCACTGGGTGTTCATCATCATACCCATTTTTTTTTCTTTTTTGGGACAGGTTCTCACATAGGTCAGGCTGACCTTGAGCTCTGTATACAGCTGAGGGTGCCTCTGTCTTCCCAGTGCTGGGAATGGCCTTTGTACATGTTCAGCAAGCACTCTGCCAGTTGATCTACATCTCCAGCTTACCATGTATGCATTTTGAAAAAAAGTTCTGCCAGTTAAAACCTTAAATAAAAGTGCAGAGGCTATCCTGTCTTGGTTAGGGTTTCTATTGCTGTGAAAAGACACCATGACCATGGCAAACATTGTCTTACAAAGGAAAACATTTAATTAATGTAGTGTCTTTCAGTTTCAGAGGTTTACAACATTATCATCATGGCAGGGAACAGGGTGGCATGCAGGCAGACATAATGCTGGCTACATCTTGATCAGAAGGCAAAAGGAAATGGACTGAGACACTAGGTGGTATCCTGAGCATAGGAAACCTCCAAGTCTGCCCCCACAGTGACATACTTCCTCTAACGAGGCCATACTACTCCAACAAAGCCACGCCTACAAATAGTGCAATCCCTATGAGATTATGGGGGCCAATTACAGTCAAACTACCACATGCCCAAAGTGTGCTTTTGGTAAAAGTTCGACAGCAAACATAAGCAGTGGGGGGAATGCATATGGCCAGTGTGATCCCTAAGTGTAACCCTGCCTGTGTGTCATTCCAGTCAGAACAACAAAATACAACTAGAAGACGAATCTGAATTAACTATTTTGAACTCTTCTGCAGTATTCTATAGTGAAGATATTCTAACTGATACACATTCTAGAGCAATCTGCGTGTCATATTATTAAAGCAGATATTCTTTCTCCATCTTCGGGATCCGTTGCAGTTTAGCAAGCTGCAGAAAGTCAGATGGGAAAGACTTCGCCTTTAGTCACTGGTACAAGTGGAAAGGACAGAGGCAGGGCACTGATGCCATGTATGTGCCTTTCCTTTCTCCTGTGTGGCACCATGTGGAGTTCAGACATGTCCAGGGCTCTGAGAGGAGGGACAGCTCTCAGCCACTGCTCTTCCCTGAATCTCTCCTTGACTCCAGAGGCCAGGGACAGTTCAGGATTAACTAACTGGACAGGCTCAGGTTTTAGGGACAGACAGAAGTTCTTTGTCAGGGCACCAGAGCCACCATCTTAAAGGCAGTGTCCCCAAGGAGTCTACCTCAGAA